CTATCGCGCATCATAGTGCTATAGGGGGGAAAGGGATGGTCTGAAACATTGCAGCACGGTGGAGTGACTCCTGTTTTTACTCGAGTCAATACACCTCGCTCCAATGAATTGTTACACCCGAACGTAATTCTTAAGGGTGAACATTTCTCACAGTCTGGGTTTAATTAAATTGCTTGCTTGGTTGCTTACTTCTCAACTAGTCACTACAGGTGACGTAATAGTGACAGATGACTTTACAGCGTCACTGTGACAGATAATTTTAAAAACGACCTAATGGCAAGTGATATCTCGTTTGAAAGGTATTGAAAATACCTATTCAGTCATAATAATTGTGTTTGAGTTTAAGCTCATTTTGATGAATAAATTAAATAAATACTAAAATTGTAGCTTCCCATTTAATTAATAAATATTTAACAACCAGTTCTTATAGTAAGTGTTCAAAATGTGCTCCATCTACTTCTTAAAAGTAATGCATCCTCTTTCTAAATTCTTGCCGTACTCGTTCAAATGTGACGGGGGAAATTGCCCTACATTCTTCAACAATTCGTTGTTTCAAAATGTCAATATTGTCGGGTCCTGTAGCGTAAACTTTGGATTTCAAGTATCTCAAAAGAAAAAATCTAATGGTGTAAGTTTCGGTGACCGAGCTGGCCGTTCTACCGTACCTTATTGTCCAATCCATCTACCACGATATTCCTCATCTGGGTAACGTCTTACTGCACCAAAATAGTGTGCAGAAGCACCATGTTGTTGGAACGTTATTTCCAAGTTGCCGAATTCATCTGGATTATCTTCCAGAATTTCAAGTATTAACGTTTCAATTACATTTTATAACTGGCTCTTCACCAGTTAAGATAGAATTGAGAAAAACAGACCCAAATATGTAGTTTCCCAAAAAACCTGCCCAAACATTTTTTTTTTTGGAAATTGAGTATGTATCTTACAAAAGACGTGAGGATTTGTATCACTCCAATACCTCACATTGTGTGTGTGTTAACATTTGTATATAAAAAGTACTTTCGTCACTAAAACAAATTGTCTTTATGTAATCGGGCTCCAAGAACTGAATGACTAACTACAAGAAACTGGGCTGGAGATAAATTTCTAGAAAACCAAAATGATGACCAATATGGTTCCCAGCGAAGAGATACAGATCAATAACAACAAGGTAGAATTAATCCATAAATACACATACTTGGGTCATGAAATTAGAATAACCAGAGACAACCAAACCTGCGAGCTAAATAGACGAATCATGTTGGGATGGGCGGCATATGGACGGATGAGAGACATTTTTAAAACAAATATCCCAATTCACCTGAAAAGGAAGGCATTTAACAAATGCATCTTACCAGTCTTGACCTACGGAGCAGAGACCTTAACTTTAACGAAAGCTACTGCCGAAAAACTGAGGGTAACACAAAGGCGAATGGAGAGATCAATGCTGGGCCTGACCTTGAAAGATCGCGTAAAAAATGAGGAGATACGCCGACGAACTGGCGTAGACGATATTATACTGCGAATCAATAAACAAAAGTGGAGGTGGGCTGGACATGTTGCTAGAATGGAAGACGGAAGATGGACGAAGAGATTATTGGAGTGGAGACCAAGAGCCGACAAACGAAGTCGAGGCAGACCACCCACCCGATGGACCGACGACCTAAGGAGAATAGAAACAAACTGGATTGCAGCAGCTAGAGATAGAGAGAACTGGAGACGTTTGGAGGAGGCCTATATCCAACAATGGATGTGAAAATTCGGCTGGATGATGATAATGATGAATCGGGCTGTTGGTTAATTTTATTGGACATATTTTCACAGAATTCTAATCTTCGGTCGGGGTCATAATCTGAAAGTAGGTGCACATTTTTTAATTTATATGGATGAAATTTGTTTTCAGCCAACAATCTGCGTACTGTCTTTCGACTGATTCCATAAATAGATGCAACTCGGGCTTTAGAAGAAGTAGGGTTCACTACCATTCCTGAAATGACGTCAATTTTGAACACTACCTGTTTGTTTAAACTTTCGAAGAAGCTTCCTCAAATAAGCTCTTGATGTAAGGCGATCGGGGTACCTTACCACGTAACGCTTTTGCAAACTAAAAACAGCTAAAAAGTTGACGAACGTCAACTTTTTTGACAAATAACCAAAGGCGGACGTTAGAATTTTTTTAAATTAAATGCCAAACCACAGAATAATAAACAATCAGAATGCCAACTCTCAGATGCCGCCTTTGAAGTTATTGAGCACGCGCGCCATGTTTTAGAAGGAAACACATAACACAGACATATGATTTGTGAGGTTATGTAATTGTTTATATGTATGTTTAATTATATTATATTTATGTTATTGTATTTAACAATGTTAATATAATTGTATAGTATGTCTATGATTGCCAGAAGTCAATTAAACCGGGTTAATTTTTCTATGCACACCACATAAACAACGCTGGTTTCCTTTAAAACATAGCGGAACGTCTGCGTGAACGAGATACGCGTATATAATTTTTCAAAATAAAACACTTGCACGTCACGATTTATACAAAGTGACGTCACTTGTATTTAAAATTTCCAAAACATGAACCTTGGAGTTCAAATTTTCCTAACACAACTAATAATACGAAACCCATACGGAACTACTCGATCTTTCATAGGCGTTAACATGTTGTAATAATCAGAAAATGTAATCATCATTTTATTGGAAATTTTAGAATTATATTGATTAGATAAGCAAAAACATTTGTTATTAATAATAATATAAATTTTATGAAATAGCTCTTTAAGTCGAATAGTCAACAAAATAACAATTTTAATTTAATATATTAGACAATTGTACGCAACTGATACGGAAATACTTCAAATTATATTGACAGTTCAGCGATTGGCAAAAGTGTATAAAGTGTTGCCGGTTTTTTAGAGTACTAATTTTGTTTGTTTTGATTTCTTACACAATTTGATCAGAATGTAATAATAAATTGTATTTGTAAATACATAATAAGTTTAGATTAATAGATTTAAAAACTAATTATTGTTGTATATTGTGATTGTGCTATGCCAAAACAAATACGGTTACTGCTAAATAGTCTGTAGAAAGTTGATAAATTTTCATATAAGATAGATTATTTTGAACAAGGAACAATGGCGGTAAGTTTTTACTATTAGAGCTCTAAAAGAGGTAAGTTTAAAATTTAGAATATATAATTTTGTATTAAAATGTTTTCTTATATATTTTAATGTGTTGTAGTATTTTAAAACTAAGTGTATTTAGTGTGAATATAATAGTTTGACAAATAGTTGACATTTTAAAAATTCCTCACTTACTAACTATTCTTATGTTTTGGCAACGGTGTGGGGTTCTGAGACGACGTAAATCTTGAACGACGTGCAAGCTTTTTTATGTGAAAAATGCTATACTTAATTTTCCATGGAGAGTGGGCATTCTGATTGTTTATTATTCTGTGGCCAACTATATGTTTATTATTCTGTGGAAAACTATAATTTTAGTATTTATTTAATTTATTGGCCAAAATCATTTTAAATCCAAACAAAATTAGTATGATTGAATATTCTAACGTTCGCCTCTGGATAATTTTCAAAAAGTTGACGTTGACGTAGAAGCAATTAGAGAATTGAAAAACGTCAACTTTTTTACATATCTATTAATTAAATACGAAACTACAATAATTTAAATATGTAGCCCACAATATTATTACTACTGTATTCGTATTCATTACACCTTTATTTATCTACGTGCATTCACAACACAAGATTGAACTTAACAGAAAATTATTGGCATTATTGCGCCAAATTATAACGATAAGCGCGCTGCATAGGAGAAAGGCCTTTCATATCGTATTGACTGAATGCGTTTCTTTACAAAAATGTGAATTTACAGTTTAAAAATCCATTATAGTGAAAAAATGATTTATTAAAATTAGGATGGTTGGAGTTTCTCAAATAAGTGATTTCAATGTAAAACATATTAACAATGTCAGATATAGTTTAAAATTATTATAGGTTAGAGTATTATTATAGTTAGATAAGTAAAAAGAACAACATATCGACCTGAATATTGAAGCCGAACGTATTGAAATAATACACCGATTTAAATATCTGGGATATACAGTAAATGATAAGTGGGACCCAGACATAGAGATTAAGATCCGAATTGAAATAGCAAGATCCAAATTCATCACAATGAGAAAGGTGTTCTTCTTCTTCGGGTTCCTTCTCCTAGCGGAGGTTGGAAATCATCATCGCTATTTTAACTTTGTTGGCCGCATTTCTGAATAATTCTAATGAGCTGCAGCCGAACCACTCTCTCAAATTTCTTAGCCAGGACATTTTGCGTCGTCCTGGGTTTCTCTTCCCTTGTATCTTCCCTTGCATAATCAACCTCAGTAATACGTACTTCTCACCCCTCATTAAATGTCCCAGATATTGAATCTTTCTAATTTTAATAGTTTTTATGACTTCACATTCTTTCTTCATTCTTTGTAACACCTCTATATTAGTTACTTTTTCAATCCACACCGGAGAAAGGTGTTAAGCAACCGCAACCTAAGCGTTAACCTCCGATGGCGCGCCACGAAATACTACGTACTCTCTACGGTACTTTACGGAGTAGAAGGGTGGACGTTAACAGCAGCAACTATAAAGAAGTTAGTGGCTCTAGAAATGTGGCTGTATCGACGCATACTGAAAATACCTTGGACAGACAAACGTCATATCTGTAATGATAAGTACAGTGTGCTACAGCTTATCGTGGAAGGCAAGATTGAAGGTAGAAGAGGTTTGGGCAGAAAGAAGAAATCCTTGCTGAGTAACTTGAGAGAATGGTTTCAAATACCAGAAGCTGCGAACATAATATATGCGGCACAAAACACAGCAACCTATCGTTTGATGGTCACCAACCTTCGGTAGAAGACGGCACATAAAAAAGAAGATAATGAAGACTAGGAGAAGAGGAAGATGACAACAATAAAAAAAAGAAAACTGTCAATATGACATTAAATTCTAGTAACCCTGTTGAAAAGCCTTTAACGTTCAGACAACTAGAATATTTAATTTCTCAGTGGGAATGTCTTACAGATGAATTTCAAGAAAGATTTCAATGTCAAAATGAAGCGGTAAACAAACTTCTTGGTAATTGTTGTACTAACCAACGTAAACTAGTACCTATAGATCGACGAATTACTGATAATAAAACATCTCAGCAACAGACAGAATGTCTTCTTGAATATATTTACAATAATTTATTGGAAGTAGAAAAGCAACTTGAACCACTGGAAAAAGATGATATGTGCAAGTGCGTAAATTTTCCAGAAGATCCTTGGAGGTAAGTTTGTCGTAAATTGTATTTTATTGTTATATCTTATTTTATTGTATCTAAGCACGTCTAGCTTATAAAATATATAAGTGCTTAAGTATTTAATAATGAATAATGAAATACGCACTATATTGTACGCACTATATGTATATAATAAAAAAAATTTTAAATGTTAAAACTATATTATGTAACTCAAATCGGTCTCTTGTACTATTTAACAGGTTAAGTACCATAAGAGGCCACAGAGGTACCATAACACGGACTCACACATAAAAGTTATATACGGGCCGCCAGACGCTGGCGGGCCGCTGACGTGGACTCACATGCTAGGTCGTCAGAAAATGCTGTGTAGCTCAACAGCTGCTTCTCAAACTCATTTAAAATACACCGGGATATTTCGAGCCAGCCAGATAGTCTAGAAAGCATACTTGCCCTGTTCTGAAATGTTAACGAGGCCTCACATGGCCCATAATATTTATGAGTAACAATTGCGTAATTTTATATTTCTTTGGTATATATTCATAGTAAGAACACATTTTAGGAACATTAAGCTTTATTTTTATAAAACAAAACCTAATATCATTATATCAAAATTGTATCTTAACCCTTCATTAGGCGCGCGACCTGCCCGAACGCGGTTAGTCGAGGTAGGTGCAATGGACCTATGATTAACTATTTAATTACTAGCGGATTTTTTAAAATATTTTCCTTATTATTTTAATGTTACAACATAAATAAATGTATTTTATAAGGAAGTAAATAATTAACCAGATTTTGAATGCGTAATATTGCCCATATATGGAGAAAAAACAAAAAAAAACTACTTATGGAATTAATAAAAATATATTTAAAGTGAAAAAACAACACAAACATGTGTATTATATTTATTTACAGATTTAATATATATCTCATTAATGTTTATTAAAACATTCCTCGCACATTTTTTTAGCATTTATACTCAAACATAAAAATTTGCTACACCTTTCACAAGAATATTGAGTCTTGCATTGTTTCTTCGTTTCTTTGTAACAAGCTGCACAGTGTTTTCTTTTAGTTCGGTTTGAACTATTTGCTGCTCGATCCCTTTCATGTGTCTCTTCTTGTTCAGGTTTATAAGGTTCTAAAAGAGTTTTCAGTTTAGTCGGTAAACTTTGTATTGTTGATCTCCTCTGTAAATGTAGAGTTACTAAACTTTTTGCCAAATTTTTCAAAAAGATCCGCCTCGTAATATACTCTGCCTCATTTCCAGAAGAAATAATCATGGAGTTAATTTCAGCTACATTTAATAAGCGGTAAAATATCACCATAGGCCATCTTCTCGTTCCTCGTGCTGTATCATAAGTGGCACATAATTTATCCACAACGTCCACGCCTGATTCTGTTTCATTGTAAAATTGTATTATCTCCAGTTTCTTATCGGTGTCAGACGATACAACTGAACTTGACGTATGATAACTAGACAACAATACAACTGTCTTGTTTTTTTTTTGTACATATGATACAAGTGTCTCGTGTTTAGTATAATCAAATAAGCTATCATATTCATTGCGAGTTTTGGGCAATGCAAAATATGCCGGAGTTTCTCGTCGATTTTTCCTCACGGTTCCTACGAAGGACAATTTTTGTTTTTCCAGTTCCTTTACAAGGTTTAAACTCGTAAACCAATTATCGGCAGTAATATTCCTGCCTGTGCCGAAAATTGGTTCTGCCAACCTGCATACAATTGCATCTGCAGAATTACTCTGCCTGTAAAGTCCTTCCAGTTGTTGCCCTCAATAAATTTTCATATTATAAGTATAAAAATAAAAAATATAAAAGTTTTGCATCACATAAAGAGAATATCTTGATTCCTTACTTGCTCGGTTTGGATGGTATGTACTGTCTAAATCCACAACGTCCTCGGAATCCTGTGGCAGCATTTCATCAATTGTTGTGTTTTGTTCTAGGCTTTAATATGTCTTGCAATTTTCCAAAAAAATAGTTAAAAATATCTCTCACTGAAGCTAATTTATCTGTTGCTTGTCTTTGAGGCTGTGTGGTTTTTTCATCGAAACGGACACATCTTATAACCTGACGTACCATTATAAAAGTTTTCGCTTTCGGCGCCCACCATGTCTTCTGTATCTACGTCGTCGATTTCATGATCGGTATCAGAATCCATCGACCTTGTCTCCAGATAATCCTCTGTTGACGATTTATCTGATTCGTCAAAATCTTCATGGGGTAAAGTATTTGTGTCACATTCACCTTTTTCGAAAACAAGACGATTAAGCTCTTCTACGTCTGCCGGATTATCAAGTTATTAAATACGATTACTCATTTTCTCAAAAGTGTCGCCAAATTATGATAAAATACTTTTTTACGTAATTGTCACAAAAAAAGTAAGGTCAATTATTCACAAAACACACTACTCAGAGTCAGTAAAAGACAATAAGCACTAGTATATAACTCTCATACGCCACAGCAGACGTACCAAATAGCACTGACGTGGTTGAGCGGGCTAGCTCCGGCGGACCTATTCTATGTACGGTCGAATTTCCGGAAAATCTCGGCGGTTATTGGAATGTTACTTCAGCAGGTAAAAGAAGACTGATCATCATTAGATGTCATTTAGGCTCAATGATATATATTAATTTTATTTTAAATTACAAGCAAAAAATCGGGGTCTAGGTCCACTGGACATATGCCCGACTAATGAAGGGTTAAATTCCACTAGGAAACTAAGTTCCTGTAGCTGGCTGTATACCATATATCACAAAAAATTTATCTCAAATCCTTTATAAAAGGTATATAACAAAATGCCCAAACGGGCTATCACAAATATGTTACAAAACGTTTTCGGATTGTTAAATCCATCATCAGTGTAAACGAGATATACATGCTATAAGCCACCAAAATATATGGGACAAAACCCTTTAAATGATATTAATTTAAAGTTCCTTTACATTATATGTAGTTACAAATTATGATGTTTAAGTTACCAATTCCAACAGTATATATTTCTATTTCTATTTTTATATTAATTTTGGTATATCACCAAAAAGTACAAAATAATTAATGAATTTTGAAGAAATGAAATAGGCTAAAAATAATGTTTCTATATTAATTAACAAAGTCAATAATTTGTTTTAGATATGAAATATACGACAAAGTGGAATCCGTATATGCGCTTATCAGTAATGCACAGCAAGCTCTTACCTTGGCAGAAATGTATATATGCTCAAGCGGTATATTATTACAAAACAAATTTTGTAAAGTAGCTTACATTTTAAATATACTGCTTAAAGTATTAGAATACTGCGAAACACAAATCAACAAAATGGAAATTGTGGCTAGTCGAACTTCAGTATACTTTTGTTTATAATTTTTCTATTGTAAGTATTTTAATAAAGAACTATTTCAATCGAATGAAGATATTATTTGATATCAATAAACAAGTCTTAAAAAGTATCGTTTCCACGGCATGATTTTACTATCCGTATCAATGATTTTGTTTGTTATTCCCAGCGTATACTCTGTATTTGTTTTCTTAACTTTCAACTTACTTGCATAAATAAATGTACTATAGTTCCCTCAGTCTTCTTTCGCAGTTTTTCGTTTTCTTGTTAATGCATTAAGTTGGATTTGAAAGAAAGAGAGGTAGTTCCGTGATTAAACTTAAAAATATTGCAGCGTTACATACATAAAAGGTCTATTGCTAACGTACGTTTGATTCATGGATAATGCACGCTTTCTTAAGAGATTCTAAGATATAAGAAAAGGGAACAAGTACTGATACTTAATTATTTAACTGTTTTTAATTAGAAAAGGAAGCTGGATAAACTGTATTACCAAGTTCTGCTTTTCGTGAAGTAAGTTTAAAATTATGCTGAAAATAAAATTGGTTTACCTACTATTCAGCATGTTGCTGAGGCTTCAGGAATTTTTTTGCCAACTATAAGACGATTGGCAAATGAAGGCTTTCAAAAATATTCTGATTATTCCAAGATACAATGAGCGAATCAGTAGCCACTAGTCTTGAAGCCAATCTTGAATCTAATCAGTCATCTAATCAAATAGAATCGATTATTGAATCGATTATCGAATCGATTATCGAATTAAATGGATTATCAGATCGAATCGATTATCGACACGGTTCGATTATAAATGGATCGTTTTGTTGTCGTTTTTAAATGTTTACATATTTCTAAATTTAATAAACAATATTTTTTTACTATTTAATCCATCTTACAATAAAAGTAAAGTTTGTTTAGCAGTAAATGGTTGGCTTCAATTAGTACCGAATATAATCATCCTGGATTAACCGATAATAGTATAAAAGGCCCGGTTTCAGGTAAAGAAAACACTCCTGACCATGGATCTGCGCGAAGACAGAGTCAAAATACAGGTAAAGGCAGAAAGGTTCTATTGTAAGTGGAATTATGTAGTGCATAGTACAATGCGTTTCGCATGGTAGTGGGAACTAAACCAAATTTCGTCTACGGCGCCGTGATCAGGAGTGTTTGCACTATTTCTAACAATGGTTTACCTGAGGTACAAGGTCTTAACAATGGGCCAAGTCAGATAAAATTATTAGTATTTACGACCGCACTAATTGAAGTCAACAATTTTCTGCTAAACAAACTTTACTAGTTTAATGCCATAAGCTGTTTACCTGTGGCTAAGTACAATCCTGGCATTTGTCAAATTCGTCAATAATTACATGAAATAATACAATACTCTAATACAATAAGAGTAGAGTATATTCTTAGAGTATTCTAAGAAGAATAATAGTATTATATTTTTCTGAAAAAAAAAGAATTATTATTCTGCGTCTCTGGATTATGAGAATTCCGGAGATTGTAATTGATAGACGATAAATAGAAATAGACTTATTTATATAAGTGGAGACTCTGCAAACGAAAAATGGAATTAAGGATTAGGATTATGGAATTTCCGAAACCTGTACCGAGCTGGATCACTCACATCTTTACTTAACATAGTGAACACGTACAAGTTAAATGTCTTGGTATTCCAGAAAATGCAATAAACAGGAACCGATAATCTTGACAAAAGTACCCATTTATATATTATAGCTGCAATGAAATGCAGGACATACATGGAGTGGGATTTATTGTAAATCAAAAAACAAAAGGAAAAAGGAATTAACTTTAAAGCTTACAGTCAAAGAGTGAGATATTCACGCTTAAAAGGGAAATTCTCTTTTTATAGATTTATCAATACGCATGCCCCGACTCATAACAAATTAGAAGAAATAAAACAACAGTTCTTGGAACACCTAGAGGAAGTCTACTGAAGATGTCTCAGAAATGATAATAATACAGTGTTAGCTGACATGAACGCAAAAGTAGGACGAGAGCGAGTTTTCACCTTCACTAAAGGAAGGCATAGCTTACACAACGTTAGTAACGAAAATGGAATGCCACTGATAAACTTGACAGCTGCACAAAAATTACAGTCGTTAGCACCTATTTTGAACATAATAATGTACAAAAGGTAAGATGAAAGAACAACCAGTCAGTGTAATACTATCTTAATAGATTTAAGACACAATGAACCACAGAAGTTATAGGGACGCAAACATAGACTCAGATGGTTGCTTACTGATATCAACATCAAAGGTTATAATTTTAAATATTAGCAAATAAAATAAAATAGCTAAAAAAACATAGAATATGCAAAAGCTGAGAGATGCAACAGTTACAGAACGGTACTAGGAAAACATTATTAACATGCTAAGGTATCAACATGTACATAAACAAGGCCAGAAAGATGTAAACTCTTACTAAACCAGATTAAAGGTAGATATTGAAACAGCAGCAAAAAACTAAATAGGTATAGAAATTTGTGCCCAAAAGTCATACAATCAATTCTATTTTAAGTAAAGAGCAAATAGAAGGTTATGACGCTGATGTTGAGGACCAAAATGGTTTTTAGGTTAGAAGATCCTGTTCTTATAACGTATTCTTGAAGCAGCTTATAAATCAGGGATCACGCATATCTCCGATGTCCCACCGCAGTGATATTATCCGCACCAGTTACCCCTATCTGTCGCATTGGTGTAAGCCAAGTCTCGTTACTATGAGATCCGTGCGACTTAACAGTTTGAAATGGTGGAGCCTATTGAAAATCCCGCCAAATTTGAAATACGCAGAACCTACGCAGAGTAAAACTCTATAAAGACTAAAAACGTGCAATAAACGACATGGCTTCGTATCAACGAAGGTGTTTTTGATTCACGACAATGCTTACCCCACGCATCAACTCAGCAAGAACTTCAACGTCTATAATAGGAAATTTTCGAGCATCCTCCATCAGCCCGGACCAGGCACCTTCCTATTATTATTTGTTCCTAAAACTGAACGAACTCTGGGTGGAAAGGAGTTTGAAAACGACGAAGAGCCCAAATATAAAGTTATATCCTGGCTCAGGTGTTTGACGGTAAATAACTACAACACCGGTATAGAAAAATTGATACACGATACAATAAATGCATTGACAACTAAGGCAACTATATTGAAAAATAGCCAAGGTACTGTGGTTTTGCAAATAAAATTTTATTTTAGTATCTTCTATTTTTAATTTTATATGCCAAAACGTTCTTTACTTTCTGGACGATCTAAGTAACTTATTTGAAAGCCTTTGAGAGTTGGAAAAAATCTTTGTCCAGATTACTAGTTTTTATTAACTCTAATATCTACCTAAATATAAAGCTATTAAGAATTTATCTCTATAACATCCACATCATCGACACCAAGCCATGATAGCAATCAAAATTTTTCTTTATGGAAAGCAAATACGAAGAATGTGGAATGTCTGTAAGCTGCAGTAAAACCAAATAAATATTTAGAAATGGGGAAATTAGTGGTCTAGAACCAAACGAAAACAAAACTATGGAAAAATCCTGTCAGGAACAGTTCAAATTTTAAAATAGTGTCGCCCACTTCTGCTATAGTACCTACAGAATGTCAAACATTTCCTAATTGTTTGATAAATTATTGCATTTTTTCTTAATTTTTTCTGTAAAATTTGCGTATTAAGCTTTCTATTCTGATTATTAATTATTAAAAATTACGTCAGATAAATCAAAGTAATTAATACATAAAATATGTCATGGCCTTTAATTATTACTTACTATTTTAGAAAATATTAGTTTTTATAATAATAAATCGATATATTTTAAAATATGCTAAGATAAATGGACGGCTATAAATATTTTTACCAGTTTAATGTTATTATTTAAAAAATGTCACTAATTAAAAAAATGACATGAATAACCTAATTTTGAATATTTCAATGATTTTCATCTTCTTCTTTGGGTGCCGTCTTCAATGAAGGTTGGCGATAACCTCAGCAAAATCATTTCTGTCCCTGGCTTTTCTTATTAAAGATTGAGAATCCAAACCAGTCCACTCACGAATGTTCTTCAACCAGGACGCCTGCCGTCTACCAGGACCACGTTTTCCTTCTACCTTCCCCTCTATAAGAAGCTGCAGTAGCTGGTATTTCTCATTTCTGTATATGTGTCCCAAATATGAGGTTTTCCGTGTTTTCATTATTTTTAAGAGTTCTCTGTCGGTACCCATCTTGTGTAGGACCTGCTCGTTGCTCATATGCGCTGTCCAAGGGACTTTCAGCATCCTTCGAAATAACCACATTTCAAAACTTTCCAAACGCCTTAGTGAGTTGATTTTGAAGGTCCAGGCCTCCATTCCATATAGTAAGGTGCTGTAAACGTAACATTTCAGCATTCGGTATCGGATTTTGAGATTGAGTGTTTGGGACGTAAACATTTGTTTCATTTTTAAAAAGACATTTCTTGCTTGTTCAATTCGCGATTTTATTTCTATGTCTGGGTCTATATCTTTCGTTATCCAGCACCCTAGATATCGAAATTTCTCGACATTTTCGATAATATTACCATTCACGTTTAAAGCCATAGGTGGATGGATGGATGTTTTGGAGACAATCATTGTTTTTGTTTTCTTGACGTTAATGCTGAGGCCGTATTGTTCTCCGATCGATCTGACGCGATCTAAGAGTGTCTGGAGATCCTGTGCGCTCTCTGCAATTAGGACCGTGTCGTCGGCGTATCGTACATTATTTAGAACTCTGCCGTTAATTTTAACACCTTCTCTTGATTGCTCTAGTGCTCGTGCAAATATTTCTTCCGAATATATATTGAAAAGTAGTGGTGACAATACACACCCCTGTCGTACACCTCGCTTGATATTGAATATTTCTGTGTCACCGGCTTCTGTTCTAACTGCTGCAGTTTGGTTAAAATACAGCGTTTGGATAATTTTAAAATCGTTCTCGTCTAGTCCCTTTTTGTGAAGGCAATCCATCAGCTTATCATGTTTTACTTTGTCGAAGGCCTTTTGATAGTCAATAAAACAT